TGAAAGAAACTTTTAAAAATAAATAAATAAATATAATTGTAATTACTTTACTGCTCAGAATAAATTTTCGGTGATCATTATTCATTCTAGACATTTGAGGGGAGGGTGGCTATATGGTGTGTGCACTTGACAGAGACAGAGAGAGAGGGAAAGTGAGAAAGCACCCCCTCCTCCACCAGTGGGGATGGCCATCCTTGCTTTTCCATTCTCCTCTGTGGATTTTGGGCACACATGTAGATGTGTACATGCACTCAGTATGTTTTTCAAGCCACAGGGTTCAGCACTTGAACCATGTAGTCGGCCATGTGAGATTCAGCTGCCTTAACCTCCATGCTACCTGCTAGTCCCAACAAAATATTTTAACTATAAAAGAATAGTGAATTTAAATTTCAGACAACATTGATATATATGAAGCATTTATGAATACAGAATTAAAGAGATTCAAAATCTTACTAGATTTAAAACTTTTAATAAAATGATTTAACTTGACTCTACCACAGGAAACAGAATCAATCAACAACACCAGCCAGCCTTCTGCAGTCATTTTACTGCTGCTCCAAAATTATCAGTCTTGCTCTGGAAGCATCAAATTAAGCTTCCTCAGAAACCAAATCAATTGCTTTAAGGTTAGTGCTAAGTAAGTCTGCCAATCACAAAGAATTGAATGAAACTCACTGCAAAGCAATTTTCACATCCTCCCTAATGAGAATGAGAGCTACAACAAATGCAGTCATGCAAACAATAAACAAATGACTATTTAAAAAAAAATTAAAATTCCTAGTATAGTGACAAACACAAGTCTAGGAGAAGAGGAGCCTAGATTAACTTCTGATTCTGCCACTCCACAGCTGAGTGCAAGGTATTCTGTACCTCTAGATCATAATGACGTTTCGGCAAACAGATCTCAGGAAGCACTTCTCCAGTAAACCTCCATCCCGGTTGTTTTCCAGTTCTAGATTTCAAAGCGGGTCTTGGTAGACTGAGTCAAGGAGGTTCTATGCTTAGTGTCATGTGTACTGGTGACACAGCATTGCTTCCCTCTGCCCCGTTCTCACAATGGTGTCTTGGATATACTATTCCTAGCTGACCCTCTGAGGAGCTGGCAGTCAAGTACATACTTGAATACCCTAGGAGCTGAGAGTTAGCAGTACTTAAATGTGAGTACTTGAGTAACCACAATGAACCAAACACTACACTTGGGGGCAAGCATACATCTATGTAATGGTGGGTTATTTTTTTCTTTTCTCAAGTGCACAGAATTGAATTATTTTAAGGTTGAAAGATTTGAAAAAAAAAATGACAATAACAAAAAGACATGAGTGGAAACTTAAAATAAGAGGAACAAATACAGCTGTCCTATTATTCTCACAGTTCCACAAACTATTCGAAGTGCAGAGAGTCATCTTTTAATTTCTTCTCGCCATAGCTATGGAGGTTTTATGTTCTTGGTTCTCCTCGGCTCCCAATTTTTGCTCTTTCTTCCCTTTCTCCCTTGACTATCTGCTTTAGCTTCTGAACCTCAATCCTAGGTTTTTGGTTTGGGTTTTGTTCCTAATCTCCCTACACTCCTGGTAGTAATCAGCACAAGGTCCAGTTCTAATTACAACCAAATATACATCTTCAGACCCAAGGAAGATAATATTAATAAAGAACTATACTGGAAAAGAGGGTACGACTATATAACATCTTTGCTTAACTGCAGGCTTAATCAAGTTAGGGGACAAAGAAATAATTGCACAATTTGGGAAATAGTAATACAATGTAGTGTATCTCTCCTTTTCTTCATAGGCTTAAACATCACACTAAGTTCTAATACAATATATTATACAAACAGACATTTTTTAAAAAGCAAGAATAAATAAGGTTTTTATTTTGTCTCTGGGTCAAGAATATGCTCTAAGCCAGGGGACCCCAGCCCCAGGCAGATGTCAGTCAGCAGCCTGTAGAGGGCCAGGCTGCAGACTGGTGCAGGTCCAGGGCCTTTTACTGTCCTCCTGCATCCCACGCCACCTGCCTGCCCAGTGGTGGGTGGGCAGCAGACAGGGAATTGAGCGAGACTTCCATCTGTGTTTGCAGCCACTCCCCATTGCTTGCATTGCCACTTGTGCTCTGTCTCCTGTCAGATCAGCAGGGTGTTGGATTCTCATGGAAGCACAAACCCTATTGTTTAACTGTGTCATTGAATATTGCAATGTAGTAGCAGTGAAAATGGTTCTCACAGTGGATGTAGTGTGCTTGGGTCAATCCAGGACTAACCCTGCCCCTTCCATTGTGGAAGGATTGTCTTCCATAAGGTTGGTCCCTGGCTCCAGAAAGGTTAGGGACCACTGTTCTAAGCTATGACTTGCTACCTTGGCTTAAGATTCTCTTGAGTTGCAACATGTTTTATCTGTCATATTTTATAGTTACAGTGAACTACAAGTTAGACCGTAAATCACTATCATTCCTACCACAAGATTCACACACGTTTAGTGACTTACGTTGTTTAGGCATCTGTTTGCAGAATGGATTAAGGAATATTTTAGGAGCATAATCATCCTTACTAGAATGAGGCGGAAAATGGTCCAATAAACAAAAGCCTTGACAGGAGAAGTGAGCTGAAGCACAGTGTAGTGTCTATCACTTGAATTGCTCTCCAGGTCCTGTCCCAAGAGCTCATCATGTCAGAGACAGTGGCTACAACAAGAAATTAAAGAATGACTTTCAGGGCCAGCAGATGGCATAATGGTTATGTCACTGGACTCCCACATGGCAGACTGTGGCTCAAGTCTGGATCCAGCAGCTTAAAACTTACACCAGGCACATAAGTATGTGTGTGTGCCCAAGATCCAGAGAGCCGAATGGATGAGAAGGGATTGCCACGTGACCATTCCTCCTAGTGGATAATTTCTTGCTTTCTATCTCTTTCAGTCTCTCTGTCTCTCTGGTGAGTGCACATACCCTATAGCAAAAAAATCTCTCTAAAAAAAGAATGACTTTCACTAAAAAACTTTGAAGTAAGGTTGGCAGGTGATCTGGTGATTAAGGCACTGGATTCCCACATGGCCAATCACGGTTCAAGTCCTGGACCTTTCTCACTTTCTCTCTCTCCCTCTCTCTCTCTGTCTCTGTCTCTGTCTCTCTGGTCAAATTAAAAGTAAAATTAATTAATTTAATTAATCTTAAAAAAAAAACCTGAAGTACAAGATATGCTTTAATGCTCTCATGACAAGATATGCTAGAAGGGTAAAAGGGGGCTGGGGCACTTCAACAGCCTTTCAGATCAGCAGTACACCAAGCAGGGCACAAGACCAAGGAGACACAGTGTCAAGCAAGGGGGTACACCTCTGATACCTCGAGGATGTAACAACACCACTGCAGGGGGACCAGACACCACAGAAGAGGGTACCATTTGTTGATAGTTAGAATACGTTAGTGAACTCACATGAAACACACTTTGATGACTCCAAGAGTAAACTTCGGAAGGAGGTATTGCTGAGGGAGCTAGAGTTTCTATATTAATAGGTAAGGGTAAAAGTCATGAAATTCTGATTCTGTGGTTATTAGTCATGTTTTACTTTATGCCTATTTTGCTATCAAATACACGCTATTTTCATGTGCATTAATGTGCTAAATATGATTACTTAGTTGATTAGAAAGCAATTATTAAGCATCTACTATGTACCTAATTCTAAAAATTTGGTATACATAGGATAATACATAGCAAGAAGCTTACAGCTTGCTACCATGTAAGACAACTAATGATGCATTCAATATAGTCTATAATTAAGGGAGTAAATGTGTTATACAGTCTATGATTGCTCTAGGAGCTTCAAGAAGTAGAAGATAAAAATGAATTTGAGGGACCAGCAGTTGGCATAATGGCTAATGTCGCTGGACTCCCATGTAGTCGACCACAGTTCAAGTCCTGGACCTGGTGGCTTAAACTCACGGCAGGCGTGTGTAAGTGCGTACCCAAGATCCCCAGAGAAGGGAATGAGGTGTAGCCATCCTACCTGGGGGGTGATTTCTCACTTTCTGTCTCTCTCTGTCTTTCTGGCGAGCACACATGCCCTATAGCAAAAAGCTCTTCCCCCCCCCCAAAAAAAAAGAAAGAAAAAAGAATTTGAAGCATAGAATACACAAAAAGTATTCCCAATCTTTTCAGGGAAACA